TTTAGACCTAACACACTTAGCTATGGCACTGTCGTATACATTGAATGATTCCATTCGATCATATGTAATCAACTTAGGCATCCCTCCCAAAAAAATAAATAATATATATACATATTCATAACTCATATTCTCATACCTGAATAATTTGGAATATTCGATTAATCGTTCCCATCCCTAATACACATACACGTGGATATTCTTTGATTTATTTATTTTTGTATTATTTTCGCTCATGTTTTCTTTATCTTTAGATACAGCTAAATGAAAACGGAAAAAAAGATTGACAAAAGTGTTAATATGTTTGTACGATCTAACCGAAACTGAAACAACCCAGTGTCTGTCCACACTGCCTGTGTTTTTAACATGTTCTTTTTTGTTTGGTTTTATTGTTCTGTCTTTTCATTTTTTATTTAGGTATTCCAGTACTGTATGGTGCATGTNTCACCCAAAGCAGCGTTAAAAAAGCGGGAGGCGCCGAAAAGCGACTAATTTGCGTGCCTTAAATACATTCAGAGAAATAAAAATGCTCAATTTCAATTTTGCCTGTAGACTGTTCCAAGCAAGTGGAGCTGCGCACATAAAAGCTGTCTTACCTAAGACAGTCCTTACTCTTGGCACATCTAACAAGACTATATCCTGCGATCGCAGACAATAGCTGCTTGCAACTTTCTGCTTTATCAATGAACAGATATAATACGGGAGTTTGCCCAACATAGCTTTATAGATAAAAGTGTACCAGTGACTGAGGATCCGTACAGTGAGTGATGGTAAACCTGCCTTGGTCAACCTAAGGACACATTTCATTTGAAAGTAAATACAATGAAATAAAAACATGCACCATACAGTACTGGAATACCTAAATAAAAAATGAAAAGACAGAACAATAAAACCAAACAAAAAAGAACATGTTAANTTTATTTAGACAGATTGGTCCCTTGAGATCATCATTTAGTTCCACATGAAACATAAAAACAACATACAAACAAACAACAGAGGATATCATATTTACATAATATGTAAATATGATATCCTCTGTTGTTTGTTTGTATGTTGTTTTTATGTTTCATGTGGAACTAAATGATGATCTCAAGGGACCAATCTGTCTAAATAAAGGTTTGAAATGAAATGATGACTTACAAAACCTGTCCAGGGACTACAGATGAAAAATAGGCTCTTGGCTAACCCTGTTACATAAATACAAATGATAAAAACCAAAAATGAAGTAAAAAAAAAAAAAGAAATGACTCAATGCCATCTAAAAATAAAATAATAAATAGTGCAGTTAGTGTCTTGGTTACCTCTGTCGTGTAAGGCGAGCAGAACCCTCTCGTACAGACAGGCCCGGTACAGATCTCCAGGGATGGGTTTCCCAGCCCAGCAGTCCAGCTCCAGTTTCTCCGGGTCCGGAGCGTGAGGATCCGGTTCAGCCAGGATGTACCGGTACCCGTCTTTATTAAAGGGATGCTCCAGGGGGTAGCCATGGGGGGGGAGACGCTGCGCTGAGAAGAGGGGGTCGCTGAGAGGAAGAGGAGGAGGGAGGAAGAGAGGTTTGTTTTTGTTTAATTTAAGGCTCTAGTGTGATATGTCACTTTGAGTTTTGTTAACTCAAATGAAAAGTGTGCTTATAAATCAAATTGATTATTATTATTATTACATGTAATGTTTCACAATTACTTTTTACAGGCATGCATGTGATATGTATGCCTGACACATACAATGCATTTCTTATTTTAAAGTTACTTACCTGTATATGATTTACATTTTGATTTGATCTGTAATTGTATTCATCTGACATTTTGTGTGAATCTGTGCCGTCCTGTTTTTCAACTTTGAATATAAGTCTTTAAAATAAATGATAAAACTAAAGAAAAAAATACAAAAATAAATGAAAGAGTGCATTAATAAAAGTCATATTTTGACTTATATGCCGTAATAATTAATGAATCCAAAGTTATTCATCATGCAGACAGTGAGACGTCTGTCTCTGTGTGTGTCTGCGCGCGTGTCTCCGTGTCTGTCTCTGTGTGTATGTCTATCTGTGTGTGTGTTCTCTCAGTTCTCGTACCTTCTTGTCCTCTTTGCTGCTCCCGCTGCACTGTTGTCTTGCTGTTGTTGTTGTTTACGTTTGGCTCCTCTGCCTTTTCCGGGCCCAGGAGCCAGAGCACCTTATTTAAAAGAAAATTACACCTTTGAATAAAAAGTACACACACACACACACACACACACACACACACACACACACACACACACACACACACACACACACACACACACACACACACACACACACACACACACACACACACACACACACACACACACACAGACAACAACAATGTACCTAATTGGACTAATTGAAGACCATTATGCTGCTGTGTTAAGGCCAACAGTCCTGAATTAATCTGGAACTGAACAGTGCTCTTTGACGCAGGTTGAGGCTCGTTGAAAAAGCTCTTTTTGTGAAGATTCTGAAAACCGCAAACTGAATCAGAAGTGAAATCAGAGCCCTTACTGTCTCTTAAAAAGCTTTTCCATATTTTTGTTAATTTACTGGAGAGTATTGAATGACTGATGCTCCTGGCCATAGATATATATAAATACTAGATGGCTCAAGGCGAGCAATGTTAGTTTGACAATAAAGAACCTTGAACCTTGAAAACAGTTATGAAATACTAAAGGACAGTAACACAAGAATACAGTTTAAAAGGAGAGTGATTAGTAAAATATCCATAAAGAAAAAGTACATCTGTTTACAG